CGAAACTCGAAAATCGCATATCGCGTTATGCAAATAGCGCATAGCGCCCCCGTTCGCTACCGAAATCGACACACCTGTTGTGTCTTCGCGTTATACAAAGAGCAACTCTAATCCGCACAAGTGTTGGCGACCGTCCCGCTTGGCTGCTCGATTCCGACCATTTTTCGCACCCCTCTCCGCAGGCCCCGCGGCCGTCCGTAGTGGAGAGGGTTTCTCCATCTACCTGCCCGTGCGAGAAAAATAAAATAGGCGCGCTTACCCGCACTAAACGCGAGGCGCGAAATTTAAATTATGTTCGCCACCGAATATGACGAACCAGTACGATCTGTACCGAACAAATATGTTTAAGTGTCAAAGCATAAACCAAAACAGTAATGATTATTTGATCTTTGATAGTACAGTAACATTATAGTGTTTGTTTTATTCTATACTCTTTGACAGCTGTCAACAGATTGAGAGATTGTCATTATGCTAATTTAAGTGTTAAAAGTTCCTCCTGGAATTAAATTTGTGGTTCTTAAACGTATATTGTCGTTTGATTTTATGATATTTACTAAACAAATATGACCATGATATTCCAATAAGCTCGCTCTGCTGACAAGTTTCATTGCTGTGACGTTTACAGGGATAAAAAAAAAACTTTCATTAGCGAAGACTTTATTACTGGTTATGTACAGTTATAATGTTAGGTTATACGACGAATTAAATAACATTACTCCTTAATATTTAACGCTATTTATAATTTATTCATACAACTGAGATCAAATAAAATCAATATAAAAGTTAACATTTGTCGAAATAAAGAATTCAGACATTAGGGATTTTTTTAGAATTTTTTAATATTACCTCTATTTTAACTTTAGCTACTGTTTGTCTTCATTTTTAATAAGGAAATTGCAATTTTATATGATTATTTTATGGTTGACATTAGGGTTGTAACGGAGGCTATTTTAACGGAAGCAGATGCGGATGCGGAGACGAAGGGCTTCACCTCTGCAGAAGCAGTCAATAATGTAACATTAATTGCGATTTATTAAAAAAAACTGAAACATGTTAATTCAAAATACAGATTGGTTCAATTATGCAAATATAATGTACAAGAATCATACTTAATTGGCATAGCACGAGCGTGGACCGCATAAACGATAAGTAATCGCCCCACTCGCGATAAAGAGGTAAACTAACCTCCGTTATAACTACACATAAGAAATAACGGAAGCGGGAGCGGATGCGGAGTTATCATTTCTTGCAAGTTCCGCACTTGCGGATGCGGAAGCGGAGTTCCGTTACAACCCTATTTGATATTAATAAGTATGAAAATTAATATAATCAACACGAAGATTTATTGGCTGTTTCCTCATGCACATGCCTTACACGTCCAGTCCACTTTCACATTTAATGTAACTTGAATATATATTTCTACAATCTACGTCTAATTACATTGCTGGAACCCCATCTGAATATTAGCCAAGTACATAACAGCAGGAATCACTCATCTAACGAGTAAATAAAAAAAAATGTAACCATTTATTGGTAAATTAGAAAACCGATTGCCATTATACCTCGATGCTTTGCGTATAATACGTAGATATACAATCTATAGATGTAGCGTCTACAAGGATTTTATGGATTTATTAAGGATTTTATGGCACTTTTTAACAACCCCCTTGTACATCTGTTAGTTTTTAGTATTCCCCAATTTACTAAATGCATTTTGGAATGAAATTTCGAAATAATATTGATATTTACTCGAAAATAAGCTCCCTTTTTCATATGACTTAAGGAAATTACTAACTTTGTAAGATGCAAGATTAATTTAAAATAAATTAAACCAATAATGAGGTTGTTAAGAAAATTGCTCCTAAAAAAAAATTCACCACACATTTTTAATCCAAATATTACTATAGCTTATATATCTATGTTTACTCTCAGATTCATTAAACTGCGATTAATCTACAATTAAATCTTGTTAATAGAACACTTATTTGTCCCGGTGAGATCCCGTTTAAAAAAAAAAAGAAATGTTAGAATCCTTCAAATAAATTTATTTATAAAAGATATAAGATAAAGGTATAGTGAGATATTTCACAGGCGCTGTTAGTTACCGGGTCAAATAAGTCGTTCCATCTATATTTGATTCCATATTAATTTGACAATAATCAAATTGACAGGAATGTTTTCACAATCTGACGAGGCGGTAAATTGTGAGATATGGAAGTTATAATACTTGGCACAACTTGTTAAATCGATGTAGACTTTTATATCACATTGTTTACTAAAACTAACGTAAGTGAAGTTATTTTAAATGATTTTACGATTTTTTATAGAAAATATCGATATTTAGTTTGTCTAAATAAGATAGATTAGTTTGACAAATGACGCATATGAAGTATAGAATTCAATTTGTATGAAGGTAAATGCCGTACTTAATAGACAGGTATCGTAGTGACGAAACACGGGCTAATTATGAACTATCGATATTCGGTTTAAATAAAATCGAACTTAAATAAAATTATTATTTTCTTATTAACTAATTTATAGGACAATTCTAGTATTGATTATAGTGTAGAGAATTTAGCGATGACAGAAATAATAGCGAAATCTAGTAGTAGCTGTAGTAGTAATAAATATTTATTTACTCGCAATATTTGTAATGGTTCTGTAGGCCATTATTAATTTGAGAAAACAGTGTTTTTTTTAATTCATAAGATATAACTATGAATCTATCGATTCCAACTTCTATAAGAATAAAAATCGATAATCGATAGGATTCACATCTGATTTGACACAACCCATCACTATTAAATTGTCAAAGTAATATATTTTTATTTAGACAAACTAAAACCGGTTAAAACTAGTTACATGAATTAAAATTCCATGTTACATCGATGTCAGGTTTATTTAGGTCTTGTTATATGCTATTTTATGACCTTAGAGTAAATAATTTTAAATGAGATTATTTTAGCAGCCTTTTTTGTTCATTTTTAAATGTAACTTTCACTCGCTGTCGGCTTTCGTTGATTTTTCACTCGATCCTTTCCTAAAGCTCAATGTGTCTGAATTTGCTGAAAATAAAAAAAATATTAATCTATACTATTATAATAAAGCGTAAACACACACTTCTTTGTTGCCTAAGACGTCAGCAATTACAGCATATTTTTGAATAATTCTATTTTTAATAATAAGCCCTACACTTACGTCACTCTTTAGGCTACATATTTTCACACCATTAAGCTTAGGGGTAAATATTTTGGTTAAAAACCCGAATGTGGGAAAGAGACCATAAGTTGCTGCCAACATCAAGGAAGCAAGAATGTCGTCATGTCATGTCATTTTGACTTTTGCAATTGATAATTTGACAAATGTAAACAATAAAATAAAATTTTCATAATTCCATGTGGATGAAGCCGCACGGGAACAGCTATAATCTATATATACACTAGCTATTCCCGTGCGGCTCCATCCGCATGAAATTGGTATTTTATCAAAAAAAGAATTATTCAAAAATATGCTGTTTTCTGAAATCTATGTATATAACAAAACTAGATGTCAGCCACAAACTTCGTAAGCACGGATTTAAAAAAAAAAGTCATCTATCTCATTCCCGCGTGCATCTACCTTCTAGCAGCAATCTGTCAGTCAAAGTCCCGTCCAAATCGGACCACCCGTTCCAGAGATAGCTCTCCGGACGCCATTTTGTTAGGGCGGAATTAAAAAAAAATAGTATACTATAATATGCGGGTCTATGTCAGCTACCCTCCAGTGAAAGTCCGGACGAAATCGGCCCAGCCGTTACGGAGATTACCCGGAACGCGGTTTGCGGACAGACAGACAGACAGACAAAAAAAAACTTTAATTGTGAATTTTTTCTGATTTTTTTTTATTTTTTTTCTAAAAGATGAAGATGCAATTTTTCTTTTGATATTACAGACACTCCAATTTGTTATATGTACATACCGCGCAGCGAGGCGGGGTCCAGCGCGGAGTTCTCCAGCAAGCTGTAATCGTTCCTGGTGCCGATGGCGGGGGGTGC